AAGCTATTGGATGACAATAAATGGTGAAAATGAGGATAACAATAAAATATTGAAAATTAATAAAACAATGTCCAATTTATTGAGGGCTAAACAGCATGTTACAGGATGCTTACTGTGCATTCAGCTAAGAGAGAAAGTGGGCCATAAATTTGTTTAAAAGGCAGACTAAGTGTGCTTGAGAGGTTTAAATACTTCTATACTCTGAGTGTTCAAGGTAGCCTTTGAAAGAAAAATACAAGTGAGAAAACTAATGCCCTTTGGCATTTTTAAAAATTAAGTCTGTAAAACTACAAGGGTGTAGCTGCCGGGATAGACAGCATTAGTCCCAAAGAAGCTTTTCTTTTCAGCAACACAGATAGACAGACCTTAGATTGACTCCATCAATTGGCCAAGCAAGTGGAAAGACTTCTGCCTTCATCAATCTATGTGGCAACTCAATCAACAGGAATATTTCCAGGGGAAACAAAACAACCTCCGTGGCTTTACATTTACAGTTGTACCTCGGAAGTCGAATGGAATCTGTTCCGGAAGTCCGTTCGACTTCCAAAACATCCAGAAACCTAGGCGCAGATTCCGATTGGCTGCAGGAAGCTCCTGCAGCCAATCGGAACCGCGGAACCCACGTCAGACGTTTGGGTTCCAAAGAACGTTTGCAAACCGGAACACTCACTTCCCAGGTTTGTGGCGTTTGGGAGTCGAAACATTCGAGTTGCAAGGCGTTCGACTTCTGAAGTACGACTGTACTAATCTCCCAACTTTACACTGTTACCAGCCTTGGTTTCCAGGTTAATATTCAGTGGGTGTTTGACTCCCCCAACTACCAGGTCAGCACGAGTCCCTCTTGGCACTTCTTATTTTGGAAATTAAGCACTGATGGAAGTGCAGAGGTCTCTCGTATAACCATATAAAATCATCCCTATTACACACATCATTTCCCACACAATTCCCCGTTTATCATGTGCCTAAGGAAACAAACAGGTGCTGTAGGCACCTAAATGAAACCCCCCGTTTCATTTTTAAAATTTACTGAAGATCTTGTTCCTATTCAATTTCTGAATTTTCTGTCTGACAACTTAGTTAGGTCCTTTCCAATCTGGCTTTTGTACTTGTCACTCCACTGAATCTGCTTTTACTCACATCTTCCATGATCTCTTACTTGCTAAATCACACGCTCTTTGCTTTTTTTAAAATTTGATTTAACTCCAGCTTTTGAAACCATTGATCCAGCTATACTCTCATCATTACATTCTCTGGGTACATTTTTGGTTTCATTCCAATATCTTTTTTTTCTGTATCTATTAACAGTGATTCTCCATCCCTCCTCACATTTATTTTTTTAACTGGAGTTCCTCAAGCGGCTTTCTTGGATTCTCCTTTTTATTCTCTTCTTCTTGGAACAATTCTTTTTTTTTAATGTTATAAATTGTTATCACTTTTGTGACGATGACCTTCAGCTGTACTATTATTCTTCTGATCTTGGTCTTCCTTCTCTAATATTTCTACGTCTCTTGTTGCTCTATTAAGCGTCAAGCTAAATGTTGGGTTATTATGTTGTCTCCTTTTCTGCACTTTTGTTAAGAAGAAACATCTCTGTATTCTGAAACCCTGGGTCAAATTTCAGGATTTGTAAAGATATCATAAGTTATATCTCGCTGCGTGAGTAGATTTTACTCATATTTAATCTCTGTGCCATTTTGGGGATCTGGATGTGTACAGTGGTACCTCGGATTACAGACGCTTCAGGTTACAGGCGCTTCAGGTTACAGATGCTTCAGGTTACAGACTCCGCTAACCCAGAAATAGTACCTCAGGTTAATAAATTTGCTTCAGGATGAGAACAGAAATCGCGCGGCGACAGTTCGGCGGCAGCAGAAGGCTCCATTAGCTAAAGTGGTACCTCAGGTTAAGAACAGTTTCAGGTTAAGAACGGACCTCCAGAATGAATTAAGTTCTTATCCCGAGGTATCACTGTATGTGCTTTCAGGTCTAATTACTCAGAGACCATGGACTTTTTTCTCTTTCTTTCTTTGCTGGCTGTCTCCTTGCTTTCTGTGGAGCGATTAGATAGCAGGCATCTTTTTCTGTAGTGTATCTAGCACACTGTCATCTAGATCTGGGGTAGGAAACCGATGGCCCACCAAGTGTTGTTGGACTACAACTCCTACCAGGTCTTACCACTGACCACGCGAGCTGAACCTGATGGGAGCTGGAGTCCAACAACATCTGGAGGGCCACAGGTTCCCCACCTGTCAATCTGCACCACAAATTTGAAGCACTATTGTATCACTTTAGGTAGCCATGGCTTTGTTCCCTTCCAGCTTTCTGATGCTATGTGGTTTGTTCAATTTACTGCTATTTGACTTCATAATGTTTGAAATTATTGTGATCAGTAGTAGAAACAGCAGTAAGCAGCTAAATTTGTAACCCGCCTTTCCTCCCAAAGGAGGCCAGGTCATAGAACAGCAAAACAATAAACAATACAGCATTTTTAAAGCATTTAAAAACAACCAGGTGTCCTCAAAACTAATCCCAAGGTTGCCAGGAAAAATAGCTTTCAGCCGCCAAATGTCTTGGTGAATTGGAACGTTTTAAAATTCTGCTAATCATGGGGGAGGACAGATGCATCTCACCAGGGAGGACGTTCTACAAGTATGTAACCACTACCAAGAAGGCCCTGTCATGGATCAGCAGCAGCACACAGTGGTGGCAACAACAATAGGCCTCCGCTGCTAATATTAAGGTCTGAAATGCTTGCTACTGAAGGAGGTGATCTTTTAGGTCAGGGTTCAGCAACCTTTTTCAGCAGGGGGCTGGTCCACCATCTCTCAGACCTTGTGGGGGGGCCGGACTGCATTTTTTTGGGGGGGGAATGAACGAATTTCTATGCCCCACAAATAACCCAGAGATGCATTTTAAATAAAAGCACACATTCTACTCATGTAAAAACACCAGGCAGGCCCCACAAATAACCCAGAGGTGCATTTTAAATAGAAGGACACATTCTACTCATGTGAAAACACGCTGATTCCCAGACAGTCTGCGGGCTGGATTTAGAAGGTGATTGGGCCGCATCCAGCCCCCTGGCCTTAGGTTGCCTACCCATGTTTTAGCTACACAGTTCCCAAGCCATTTAGGACTTTGTTCGCTAGTGCTAACACCTTGAATTGGGCAGCCAGTACAGCATTTTCAGGATGAGCAACACATGGTCCCATTGGGCTGGCCTACTCACCATCCCGACACTTGCATTCTCTGCACTAGTTGCAGCTTCTAAACCATCTTCAATGGCAGCCCCATGCAAAGGAGAGCATTCTGTGCATTCTGTGTCCTAGCTATCATCTATTTTGATTATCCAGCTCATGCCGTGCTTTCTCATCCCCTTTGCAGCCACTGGCAATTCTGGCTGCGGAACAGAACAAAATAAGCCCGTTTCATTTTGCTTCAGTTCTAAGCAGCCCTCCGTTTCCACGCCATGAAATATTATTCCATTCAGGAGGTCTATTTCCTACAAGGCTATGTACTAGGAAAACAACCTTAATTCAAAGAAGGCATCGGAAATGCCGCTTCATCCCGCATCTGACCTGCCAGCTTCTCCACATGTTATTACCAAACACACTGATGTCTCTGCCATTTATTCTATTAGGTAAGAACCCGGTGCTAAAGAACCTACTGACAACCAACACGACTAGACCTTTTACCAGAGGCTACAGTCGGGTCTGGGGAGGAGGAGAAGGAAAGATGGGGTAGCGGGGGGAACACACTTCCTTTCATTCCAGCCAAAACACACCGAGCGCAGATTTCATCAACTGTTTTGCTGACAGATGTATTGCTGTTTTCTTCACATCCTTGCTTGTGGGTTATGCCTCTAATCCCTAACAAGATCCATCAGGGGCTTGCAAAACTTCAGCTGTTTGTGAATAGCTCACAAAAGACATTTTCACAAAAGGCTTAAACATTCTCCACAGGAAACAGCAAGCTGGGGCAGGGGAAGAGGGGGCGGGGAAAATGTTACAGGAAACCTTATTTACTTATGGAAAAACCTAGCATGGCAATTTCTGTTTTCCATGAATGGAACCTCAGGAGGAACAGCAGCTACATATTCAAAGGATAAGGTTTAGTTTAAGGTATACATGGCATGAAATAATCCTAACAAAATTAGAAATTCAGGTTTGCCCCCTTACCCACCACGCCACCCTCTCTGAGTACCAGTTTGTGCAGTCAAGCTCTCATGGTTGTGCATTTGACAAGATTATGAATTGAGCATGTGATCTGCAGCGCAGCTATTTACTTATTTTGCTTATAAAGTATCGCAATAATGACAGTAACGGTAATATAATTGTTTGCAACTCTGGACTGTTTTTCGCCTTCCTGCCAAACTCCGCTTGATTTATACGTAAGGGGAGGGGGACGAGGGGAACTAAAAAGCAAATTTCAGCATCAGGGTATGTGAATTACTGCTGCAAACTATCAACTTATATTCACACATGGATTAAGGTGACTAAAGAGGCAATAAAAATCCATTGCCTTCCTGTATTAATAATGCATATTTTATGTTACAAGTTGATTTCATCGACTTTCACCAATGGAAGTGCATTAGCTTTGCCCAAATACAGATCCTCTCATGCTATTCTTGGGTTTAGAAGGGGGGGAGGGGAAAAAAACTCATACATATCTATTAGTAAGCAAGCCACCGAGGTGAATAATTATGACTAAACAGATTTGAAAAACATTAAAAACTCATTTTGTCAGCAGCATCATGCCACCAGCTCAATTAGAGCCTAAACTATCAAATCATGTACAAGGGCTCAGTTCATAGCAATAAGTCAAAATGTCAGTGTATACACATGCTGTGTGTGGTATGTAAAATAAACAACTCACCACAGTTCATTATGATGTTAAGGCAGCATGCTAGCTCTGTCAAAAGGCACTAAAAAGCATCCCATTAATAGCCATTATCCTCACAGGGTAGCAGATTCAGCCAAACTTATATCAGGTATATATAAGCATGGATAGCTCAGTTGGTTAGAGCACGGTGCTGATAATGTCAAGGTTGCAGGTTCAATCCCTGTATATGGCAGCTGCATATTCCTGCATTGCAGGGGGTTGGACAAGATGGTCTCCAGGGTCCCTTCCAACTCTATGGTTCTATGTATTTGGATGATATCCTTTCAGAGTCAAGTCCCACATGAGCTTTGGCTTTTTAAGGAAAGCATTTGAATGGGTGGAGAGCAGGGGGGTGGGGGTGGGGCTTTGATGCTGCCTGTCAACAGTGAACATCTGGACAGGTGTATAGGACACCTTGGTGACAATCTTCCCCACTACTGTATTCCAACTTAAATTACAGTAATTATTTCTAAGTTCGCATCTATACATACAAATAAGCACATGCAAAATTTATGAAATCTATTTTCTCCTTTGTCCCCTTCTTTTAAAGGTGTAACCCTATTTTGTTGCTTTTCTGGAAGTTTTTAATGTTTGCTGTTATACTAGATTCAGGTAGGTAGCCGTGTTGGTCTGACGCAGTCGAAATAAATTTAAAAAATAAAAAATTGTCCAGGAGCACCTTAGAGACCAACTAAGTTTGTTCTGGGTATAAGCTTCCGTGTGCATACCCAGAACAAACTTAGTTGGTCTCTAAGGTGCTACTGGATAATTTTTTAATATTGTTATTTATTTTGACTGCTGTTATACTACATTTTTATATGTGCTGGAAGCTGCCCAGAGTGGATGGGGCAACCCAGCCAGATGGATGGGGTACAAATAAGAAAATTATTATTATTATTATTATTATTATTATTATTATTATTCATCCATACACTGCACTGCACTGTAGGGGAGTATGTATGCAGTGGTACCTCGGGTTACAGACGCTTCAGGTTACAGACTCCACTAACCCAGAAATAGTTCTTATGGTTAAGAACTTTGCTTCAGGATGAGAACAGAAATTGCGCAGCAGCGGTGCAGCAGCAGCGGGAGGCCCCAGTAGCTAAAGTGGTGCTTCAGGTTAAGAACAGTTTCAGGTTAAGAACAGACCTCCAGAACGAATTAAGTTCTTAACCCGAGGTACCACTGTATTTCAAAAACAAGCAAACAAGAGAAAGGAAAAAAAGACTGAGCCAAGAGCGCATGCTGACTCTGAAAGCCGAGGTTGACAAGAATCTACCTTCAGAGTAAACTAAACTCAGGCTCCAACACAAATGATAATAGCCAGGAGATCTGACATTAAGAATGACACACTTTCCTTAACACGTCCCATTATGCCAGGGCGACAGACTCTTTCGTTGCTTTCACATAACTAAGTGACCTTTCCTCTGCCGTATGTGCTCCAATACTTCCAATACCTAAGCAAACTAGGGAGAATTAAAGGCAAAATATCAGCCTCCACTTTCAGTCTCCCTCCCCATTATCGGATTCTGTCACAAACATTATGAAGTGGCTGTGCGTGGGGGTTTTTTTTAAAGCACTGTCAAGCTCTCAATGGCCAGTTTGCTCACCAGAAGCCTGTGAGCATTTAATGCAAGTCACATTATGTAACAGACCGTAACAGAACAACACTACAGTGGTACCTTGGGTTACAAACACCTCAGGTTACAAACACTTCGGGTTACAGACTCCTCTAACCCGGAAGTAGTACCTTGGGTTAAGAACTTTACCTCAGGATGAGAACAGAAATCGCGTGGTGGCGGCATGGCGGCAGTGGGAGGCCCCATTAGCTAAAGTGGTACCTCAGGTTAAGAACGGTTTCAAGTTAAGAACAGACCTCCAGAACAAATTAAGTACGTAACCAGAGGTACCACTGTTTTCCTAAAAGTCTATCTCCTGCTAAAGGTCTGGAACCTGCTAAAGAAAAAGTCTTCCTCATAATCGAGGGCAGAATTCCTAGTTTACCTCAGTTTACACCTCATTTGTGCCCATGTTTTGTTTGGGCTAGTTTATATTTGTATGCACATCATTGTTATACAATGGTACCTCGGTTTTCGAATGTCTCAGAAGTCAAATGTTTCGGTTTTCGAACGCCAAAACACCAGAAGTAAATGCTTCTGTTTTTTAACGTGCCTCAGAAGTTGAACGTCTTCCACTGAGTGTTTAAAAGTTTTCTCGATTAAATTTGCAGACCGCCTTTTGTGCCTCGGTTTTCAAATGTTTCAGAAGTTGAACAGTCTTCTGGAACGGATTATGCTCAAAAACCGAGGTACTGCTGTATTTAACAAAAAATATGGAAGAATAATGAGACCAACTGGAATCATTTGAACCAAAGGTTGTCTTCAACTAGCATTTACTCAGATTAGACCCATTGAAAAGAATGACCATGACTATCTTAAGTCCACTCATGTCTATGGGTCTACTTTGAGTTAAGGTGGGTTGAAGACAACCCCAAGTAAATATATGACATTGTTATATATTGAGTCAGACCACTGATGCATCTAGCCTGGTCTTAGGAACTTTCACTAGCAACGAGTTTCTGGGGTGTTAAGCAGAGGTCTCTACTAGTCCTCCTACAGTATGTGAGGTCACTTAAGTCGTGGTGGAGAACTTTTGGTCCTCCAGCTGTTGTTGGACTCCCACCACCCTTGACAACTGGCAATGTGAGTAGCGCTGTGGTCTAAGCCACTGAGCCTCTTGGGCTTGCCGATCGGAAGGCCAGCAGTTCGAATCCTTCGGGGTGAGCTCCTGTTGCTTTGTCCCAGCTTCTGCCAACCTAGCAGTTTGAAAGCACGCCTGTGCAAGTAGATAAATAGGTACCACTGCGGCAGGAAGGTAAATGGCGTTTCTGTGAGCTCTGGCACTCGTCACAATCCTCTGTGTGCCAGTAGCGGTTTAGTCATGCTGGCCACATGACCCTGAAAGCTGTCTGTGGACAAACACCGGCTCCCTTGGCCTGAAAAGCGAGATGAGGGCCGCAGCCCATAGTTGCCTTTGACTGGACTTAACAGTCCGCTGCCTTGCGATGCTGCAAGTTGGAGTCTCATAACATCTGGAAGGCCACAGGCTTCCTGTGCCTGAGTAAAATGTATATCCATCCCCCCCTCTCTTTTTGGGGGGAAGGGAAGTAAGAAGCAAGGTTGGTTAGTGGAATCACAAGTCTCCAGCTATTTTGGTGGGAATGTGCTTTCATCGGTATAAGAAGAGCTGGTAAGTGGCTTCTAGCTTTACTGTTCACATTAAATTGTAAATGGAGTGCCCAATAGACACCAGCCCCACTTGTTTCACTCGCTCTCATGTAATCTGATTGCTTGGAAAGATCAATGCAACAAATTATAAGGCATCTTTGAAGTCACTATTTGATCAGATATGAAATATGTCATGGCTGGTAAAAAAAGCATCTTTATGTACTACTGCATTTTGTTCTATTAAGCAGCCATTGGCAGTATGAATGAGCCGAGCAGCTCTAACATTCAGAATATCTGCCCTTTGTCTATAGCATGCAATCTATTTTCATTCATTTTCTTTACAGACTTAAATGAGCAGATGTAATTCGGTTTAGATAATGCATCACAGCTGCAGTAGGCAGGAAAGAATGGGAGAAAGTAATTGTTCCTGAAAGGAGGATACAAATGAATCAAATGCGTCGTATTTGTGCAATTCAACTTGGAATTTCTCTCTGTCAACTAGGATGGAGTATGCATAGCAACAAATCTTTCCCCATTACAACTGTGTTGTAATGTAAAACACAAGGTTGAATGGATGAAAGAGTGTCCTTCTCACGTCTAATAACAGAATGAAGCGTGTCCCCCCTGTTTTACCCTTCTATGCTTTTTTTTCCTGTTACAGTAAACAGAGCCACATTAATTTCCACTGAGACTGAATCAACCGCTAATCTGTCTAGTTTTTGGATTTGTCCCTGTAGGACTTCAGGTTGCAAGCTGTTTCTGGTAATGTCTTCCTCGTGTTTACTCAAATGCAGTGTATTGAAATGCCCTTGGCGTATTTAAATGCATTGCAAAATGCTTCAAGTAAGGTAGGCATCCCCTTGCCTGAACTATGGCTTAGCATGAATGCGCAAAGCATGTAGTTTCCAGGCTAGGAGACGATGGCCACAGTGCTCTTCCTTCATTCTCCCGCTGCTGCACTACCACGGTTTGGCTTATTGTGTCATCTGAACCTGGTTTGTCATGGTTTGTCTCCTCTGGAAAAACCAAGTTGCAAATCAAGAATAAATCTTAGTTACCGCTTATGGTTTGTACTTTTCCAGACAAACCACAAGCCCAGGTTAGGAGGACATGCTAATCGTTGCAGCATGGAGGCAGAAGGGCCAGGGGAAAAGCAGTAGCTGCGATCTCTTCTCCAGGGATTTGCGTGGTCACCTGTTCTCATAAAGGGTTATGTGAAAACTGGGTCACGGTATATATTACCATTCAGCTCCTCGAGTGGTATATCTAGCAGTAAAAGGGGCAAAGTGCGATGAGCAATGCAATAATAAAGAGAGGAGGACTCAACAGTGCTGTGCAAATTATGTACTAGGCCCAAGTCAAATCTTTTGCCTCTTCCTCAGGTGCAATGTGCTTAATCCATTCAGCAGATAACTAAGACTATCCTCTAGACCAGTGGTAGGTAAGCTTCAGCCCTCCATATGCTGCTGCAACTGCCTCCCATCATCCCTGGCCATTGGGCTATGATGGCTTGGGCAGATGTGAGCTGGAGTCAAGTGACTACTGAGCCAAGCAGATAAGTAACTATAGAACCTTTAGAAGACACCTGAACTTATTTTACCGCTCAACTTATTTTACCGCTTCTATCAAAATTTATACCCCTTCAATATTATTTGGAATCCTCCCCTGAAATTCTTCGAAAATACCTCCTGGAAGATTCCTCAAGCTCAGTATCATATGAGGTGGCTAAATTTTGCACTTTAGTAATTAAGAAACGTAAATCTCTTCTGTTGAATGGCACACTGCGAAGTTCCCTTGTGTAACCTTTTTTCTTTTCTGAAGTTGTTGCTGATTTCTTGTTGTCTGATCTTGGGATGTTTAGTGTCACTGGCTTTGGCCGCAATAAACTTGGACTTGCTTGGAAAGCAGCCCTATATAGGGTTTTTGTTTTCTTTTGTTTTGTTTTTTGAGACGCGGGTGGCGCTGTGGGTTAAACCACAGAGCCTAGGGCTTGCCGATCAGAAAGTCAGCGGTTCGAATCCCCGCGACGGGGTGAGCTCCCGTTGCTCGGTCCCTGCTCCTGCCAACCTAGCAGTTCGAAAGCACATCAAAGTGCAAGTAGATAAATAGGTACCGCTCCGGCGGGAAGGTAAACGGCGTTTCCGTGCACTGCTCTGGTTCACCAGAAGCAGCTTAGTCATGCTGGCCACATGACCCAGAAGCTGTACGCCAGCTCCCTCGGCCAGTAAAGCAAGATGAGCGCCACAACCCCAGAGTTGTTTGCAACTTGAACTAACGGTCAGGGGTCCCTTTACCTTTTTATAGGGTTTTTTAGTCTTTTAATATTGTTGGAAGCCGCTCAGAGTGGCTGGGGCAACCTAGTCAGATGGGTGAGGTATAGATAATATAATTATTAGTAGTGGTGGTAGTAGAATGGAATAGGAGGTCCCTATTTTCATTGGAGAAATGTTGAAGGGTATGAAACAACACATAGAAGGCCACAAGTTTCCCATACCTGAGTTAAAAGTATATTTATCCCCTCCTTTAAATATAAAGGAAGGAAGGAAGGAGTGTTGGTTAGTGGCATCGCAGTGGTTCACAGCCAGCACAGCCAGTTTCTGCTATAAAAACACATCTGCTGTAAACTGGCTTCCCCTGAGCCCAGTCCTGGAGAAAAGTTAGTTGCGCAAATGCACTTCTACAAATTATCTGAAGTGCTGGAGGTGGTATGTGCCTCTCAAAACTAGCTGCTGGGAATCACAAGATGGGGAAGCACTATTGCACTCAGGTCTGGCTTGGGGATTCACCATAGGGATCTAGCCACATGATGGTGGACTAGCTGAGTCTTTTATCATACCATCTTCATTACTCACAGGATCCTCAGTCTCACCACAGTCCTCTGCTTCTTTTCACCAGCAGCATCAAGGAAGTGGAGCTCAAATGAAAGCCCAATAGCTGCATTATCCCTTCCTCTTTTGTATCTCTACACAGCTATTAAAATTGTTTGCTGCCTCTTTCTGAAGATAAATCTGCTTTGTTACCTCAGCCCACTTCACTCGTCACATGATTTATTCATCCATTGCATTCAACATTTGGGAACAGAAGGCCACAAATCTAAGCAACCCTACGTAGGAGTAAGCACTACAGGACGTGCTGGGACTTACTTCTGAGTAAACACGTTGTATAGAATTGTGCTGTAAAGTCAGAGAAATTTATATTCTGGGTTTTTTGTGTGTGTGTGTGTTTTTAATCAATGAACACTAATAACATATTTGTAGTATTGATCAACAGTTTTCATACTACGGCGGAACGTCAGGAAAGTAAATGTGGGATCATTAATGACAATGTACATGACTTGCGAGTAAATTGCCCGGAAGGAAGAAAAACACAATTGGTGAGTAATCATGCTCCTAACCACCTATAAACACACACACACACACACACACACACACACACACACGCTCTGCAATCCAAGGGCTCATCAACTGCATACAGGTTTAACTTCAGGAACACATGGTGCTACAGAACCATTCAATCTGGGACAAAGCTCAGTTGGTACAGCATGAGACTCCTAACCTCAGGGTCGTAGGTTCGAGCCCCACAGTGGGCAAAAGATTCCTGCATTGCAGGGGGTTGGACTAGATGACCCTTGTGGTCCCTTCCAATTGTATAATTCCAATGGGCCCAAAATATACCATATACAGACGTTGATTCAGTTCAATGGTTCCAGTATTGTGCTTGCTTGTTTGGGAAGCAATCCGTTTCTACAATAGCTGCATATGCCCACCATGAACCATGCGGACATTACGCTCTAGAAGTATAGCCTGCAATGAAACATTGCAGGTGGAGTGCTCTTGCTCATGGCTGTCTGGCTAGAAACCTGCTCATTTATAGGATACCCCATGCCATTCCCCCCTCTGCCCCCCGTTTCCCATTCTCCTCCCAACACACATGTGCCTTCAACAGTCAGCAATCGATTGTCCCCAGGCAACTTAGTCCTCACTAGGCTGATTCGAGAGGGTTCCCCTCAATATTCCCCCCTCCCTAAATATTGATGTGTACTTCTGCAAACCTAGGAGTTCCTGAATGCCTGCTGATACCCCCTACTTGTGAGTGGATCCTCAGTTGTGCACAAAACGCATGGGTTGTGAAATTGAACCAAATGTTCTCAAGGGAGGACTGAAATTCTCAAACAGTTCAGGAAAACAGTTCAGAAAGAAAGAAAGAAAGAAAGAAAGAAAGAAAGAAATTCAAAGATATATCAGAAAATTTATTCTGAGCAATTCAGCTCAGCTCTAATTTATTTAAATTTATGCAGGTTGCGTGTAAGTGGAAGACAAACTTTAACATTCCAATAAGGGAGTTACACCAGCTACTCTTGGAGGCAGCACCCTGTGAAACCACCCTGGGGATAATTTTATTCCTAAAAGGCAGCTTAGAAATTTATTAAATACACAAGAATAAATAAATAAGATTCTCACAGAGACCAAACTCAGCTCTCCGTGCCTTTCTCTTTCTCAGCCTTGTTCAAACTGCACTCTCTCTGTTTTGTCTCTTCCTATGCAGACACCTTGCTCACCCCACCCCAGCTAGAGGGAGAATCATCTCTTCTGACCATCAAGCCTTCTTAGCTCCCACAGAGACACATCATTGGAACATCACAAGCTATCAACACTCTTTTATCAACTCTTAAGATGCTAGCCGGGTATTGCCTGGGGCAATCCACACCGATAGTCTTACTCACAGGAATCTGATAGCAAACCCAAGGTAGCAGTTGAAAGGATAATAGCACAGGTGAAAGTGGATTGATAGCATGCTAATAGAGACTTTAGGTCTGGCCTGAACTGTAGAGTTGCTCTGTTCAACAAATCCTCTGAATGCCTGGAACAGAGGCAGTACACATTTTCAGCATGAGATGGAGAAATCCTCACTTTGTGAATCATACTGACCCATTTGTCGGATATTGCCTTCAAATGAAAGTGACCAACATTACCTATGTTACATACTGAGCGTTCAATGTTTTATGAAACATTTTTTTTGAATGGTGTCTCTTTTTTTGTAAGCTGCCATGAGAAATTTTAAAAATAAGATGGTGAACAAATGAAACTATTATTATTATTATTATTATTATTATTATTACTACTACTACTACTACTACTTTCAAGCTAAAATGAAAGAAGAGGAGAAGAAGAGTTTGGATTTACTACTACTACTACTACTACTTTCAAGCTAAAATGAAAGAAGAAGGAGGAGGAGGAGTTTGGATTTGATACCCCGCTTTATCACTACCCTAAGGAGTCTCAAAGCGGCTAACATTCTCCTTTCCCTTCCTCCCCCACAACAAACACTCTGTGAGGTGAGTGGGGCTGAGAGACTTCAGAGAAGTGTGACTAGCCCAAGGTCACCCAGCAGCTGCATGTGGAGGAGCGGAGACGCAAACCCGGTTCCCCAGATTACGAATCTACCGCTCTTAACCACTACACCACACTGGCTCTCCCTTTGTATATTTAGTGAGAAGTTTCAGCTGTGCTTTAATGGGCTTACTCTTGAGTAAGCTTGCTTAAGACTGAAGTCTGAATCCTTCAGAACTATCTTATTTGATTGTTCATATGTCAGTGTTTCTGAAAAATCCATTCACACAGGAAAATGGGTGATGAAGCTAAGGACTTCTGTCAGGCTCATCATCAACACCCATCAGTTCTGCACAGAACACACCTTACATGGAGTTTGGGGTAGGTATACATCTGATCTAGCACTTGGGTCAAATTAACTCTGGACTCTTCCAGCTATATTATGATCCACACAAACAAATCATTGAGGAGGGGGAATCACCCCCAGTCTAGCCTCTGTTGGCTTGAGATTTTTTTGTTTGTTTACTCAGTGGGACTAATTATGTATGTGTTGACAACTGTACTGCAATTCATGTGAACCACAGAAAATAAATAGCCAGTTTCTCTTGGCCCATAGAGGCCTAAGTCAACCTCAGTCCCCACTTTTACTCCAACATGAATTTAGAAAACATGAAAGAAAGGTTAGTATAAAGTCAGAGGAAGTCAATTTAACTTTTAACATTCCTTAGGTGCACCAAAGGTCACACTTGTGTAGTTCAATTCAATTTTCTATGGATTCTTTTAAAGATGTATATGGAAGAGGCTTCATTGAGTTCCCAGCGTGAGGCAAAGAAAATGCAGACAATATGAATTGGCGCCATAATCTTGTTTGTTCTTGGAAAACTATTTTCTAAATGTGTAAGTAAACAACAAAGACCCTTAGAGGACCACATGGAATACAATCTATGATCTAATATAAATGTTTTGCTGAGCCCTAGCATAAAAAGAAAATTGTGCCTTGGGATTTCTTTACATAGCTGTAACACTTTCTTTTTTTCTCTCCACTGGTGGTACTGGCATTTTAATATCCACCAGGCAAGTCTTTAGGCTTATTAGAACCAAAACACTAATGATAAAGTTTTACAATAAAGAGATAAAAAGGGAAAGGAGATTATAAAACAAAGGACAAAAAGGAGGAGAAAGATTATAATGCATGTGGTATAATATTGGAGGTGGAGAAGCAGTACCACAGGCATGTTTTAATATAATAGGACAAAGCTTTTCCAATAGATGCAGAATGACTTCAGATTTACTTTCAAACAACATTCCCGCTAGTTAATCTTTCAACCCTGTTCAACTGCTAACAGGATTTTAAAGCTCCAAAACAATAATCTTGAATATACGCTTATCTTTTTCTCCCAGGAAAAGCAACCAAGAATTAACAATGCACTCTAAAGTGGATTCAACTGGGCATGTTAAAGGTGCATCTTTTAATTTTTGAGTGCATTTGCTATCAACAGGCGAGAGCGTGTTGCACGTGTACAATGAAAGAACAATATTCAATTACATCTTTGCCTTAAGCAGATCAGTAGGACTCTACTGACAATTTCAGCATATAAAACTACTTCCAACTGGAAAGGGCAGTAGAGTCCTTTTATAAAATTGTGTTCTATAGATTCCAGTAGATTCTACGTTGAATGCACCAGGTTGCTAATTATAAGGTGTCTTCAAAAGTCCCTCCAACATTTTGTAATAAAACGTATACCCTGACTCTGCAGAGGCAATGCGATGCAGAATGGCTTTATACAGTGCTTTGGCTCTCTATGGCTGACAGTAATCACAGTGACTTTGTTCCAGGTTAACACCAGAGCTTGAAATGAATGGAATGTAAATAACCTGCAACAAACATTTTCCATTGATTCAGTGTTACATAGTCATGACTAACTTCAGCTGAGTTGAGGCAATTAGCGTTTTTCCAGCATGGTGATCCAGTTTTCAGGAAGCACACATGGAGGCAGCAGTCGAAACTAGTCCAAACTAGTCTTTTCACAGTCCAAATTAGTACGGGTGTTTGTGATGGCATGGAGGAATTTGTGTGATGGCACACGAACAGCTTGTAGCCACAACCAGCCATTCAAAGTACCTCATGTTTTGTGGCCCACAAACACCACTTGAATTTTATTGATCGTTATGGCCAGTTGAAGAGCATACACAAAAAGGCCTCAACCATGAATAACATTAAACAGACAGATTTTTTTTCTTTGACATAAAAGATGATTAAAAAGCAGTATAAAGGAATATTACCTGATGTGGCTGTGAACTTGACCATCTGCTATACGAGGGAGCACCTGAAGTCTTGTTGGCTGTGGACTTCTTGAAAAAAAGGGAAAACGTATTTTTTATTACTACAACAACAATACTTTCTTATACCCTGCCCATCTGACTAGGTTGCCCCAGCAACTGTGGACGGCTTCCAACAGAATATAAAAAGACATAAAGGAACATCAGACATTAAAAACTTCCCAAAACAGCATGTCTATGAAAAGTCATATAATTGTTTAACTCTTGGATATTTGATGGCAGGGCATTCCACAGGGTGGGAACCTCTCCTGAGAAGCCCCTCTGCCACTTCACTTCTCACAGTGAGGGAACCACCAAAAGGCCCTCGGAGCTGAATCTCAGTGTCCGGGCTGCTGCTTGATATAATTAAGCTTTCAAAGATTTCCATAGATCTCCGTGCCCTTACCACAGCAAAAAGACTGATACAGTGGTACCTCGGGTTACAAATGCTTCAGGTTACAGACTCCGCTAACCCAGAAATAGTACCTTGGGTTAAGAACTTTGCTTCAGGATGAGGACAGAAATCGCATGGCGGCGTGGCAGCAGGAGGCCCCATTAGCTAACATGGTACCTCAGGTTAAGAACAGTTTCAGGTTAAGAATGGACCTCCAGAACTAATTAAGTTCTTAACCTGAGGTACCACTGTACTGATGAACTGGAAAAATAAAAACGCTGCTCCCTTCTACGATTGGATCGAAGACTTATACAAACATGCAACATATGGACAACTTGCATATAAACGCAGACTTGCCATGGAAAAATTCAATGATATTTGGAATCCCTTCTTACAAATGCTGTACTAGATTAAGATCTGGTGAAGTACAATAACTTTGTAAAGGAAAGAAATTTTTAAAAAAGCTTTCATAGATTTCTTTAGTTTCACCACTGTTCTAGGCCAATATAAATCTACAGTTATTGGATCACGGCACACAGTGGATCAAGGCAATATTGTCAAAGTGCTTGTGAAGAGAGGGGTAACCCGTGGGCCTCAACAATATGGAAGCAGCACTCTTGCATAGTCAAGTGCTATCCTCCTTCCATTTATCAGAGACACTAGTTTTGGTTTTGCATTATTCCCTTGCTTGAAGTGCATTCTGAAGATAGGTCTGCTGGTGTGGGGGAAAACTGGTAGGACAGGAATAGACCACTTCACTGACTCTACATGCTCTGTACCTTTTTATAGATGATCAAAACACAAGTGACAGTTTTAATCCACCAAGAGTAAGATTAAGCCATGGATATTTGGAAGATGGAAGACAGGAGTGCCTGGCGTGCTCTGGTCCATGGGGTCACGAAGAGTCGGACACGACTAAATGACTAAACAACAACAATTTGGAAGATGACACTATGGCCTGTTTTCAATGTACACCGAGAGGTGCCTGGTATGCTGGCTGGAAGAGGGAACAAAAGTCTCAGTAAGTGGGAGCAATGTTATTAAAGGAATAGAAAATTCTACCAACATGAAATAGGGATGGCTGAATAGGTCAATTTCAGTCCTCCGTTTCTCCTTTTCCCCAATCTTAAATTTGGTTCTCCACATTTCCACATGAGTTTGCAATTTTTTTATTAATTTTAAAACTCCTCATGAAAATTCACCAGTATTTATACAAATACTGTATAGAAATTTTTGTAAAGCTATTCACCCAATTTAATGCCAACGCTTGCATGTTTATGCAAACTTTACCCCAATATGTGCATTTGTAGAAACATCACTTAGCTAAAGAACTGCACTGCAAAATCTGGAAAATATCAAAGGACTGCTGTGTTTTGGTTCACATACTGTTATGAAACATGTGAGTAAGGTAGGTTTGCCTTTAAATGTGAACTGAATTGAGTTTCTCCCCCATCCATAACCAGGAAGCAGGTATAGAACTTGCTTACTAGGTTACCTTATTTCCAGATAAACTGGCTACCCCACAGCCATTCAGGAATAAAACCAAAGTGTAGCCCAGATACAGAGATGCTTCTTAAATCTCATTACACATTGACTGAAACACATATGAAGGAGTGGGGTGAGAAAAACCCTTGCTCTGAGACCCTTTTATTGGGGCCATATTTGCACCATCCATTTAAAGCACAATAATATGATACCACTTCAAACAGTCATGGCTTCCCGGTGCTGAAAGTTGTTAGGGAACTCCTGTTCCCACCGCAGAGCTACAATTTCCAGAGTGGTTTAACAATCAATCCTTCTTCCCAGGGAACTCTGGGAATTGTCATTCTGTGAGGGGACTAGAGCTCTCCAGTTGACACTGCAAAAAGCAGCAATGTAGTTCAGGAAGCAGACACATTAATCCACTTGTAATAACCTGTTTTCTTGTTGCTATTTTTCCTGAAATTTAAAAAGGCACTCATACGCTTCATTCCATTTAATACCAAGGCTCCATTATATACTGTCTTTTATAAGCACTAAAGGCCTTGAAGCCACTATTAGTGTAAAATACTGCTGTATTACGGAATTATTAATATGGCAACTGCCTCCCTTTAATCCAAATTACTTTAATTAAAAAGATAAAAATTTAAAAAGCTCCAGACAGCTCCTTACTAATGAAACCATCAGAATACAAAAGAATGTTTAAACAGTGAGCTGGATGGTTGGGGAAAAAGTAGATTCCTTCAGAGATTGTTTTAAGAAAATACTGCGGTGTATAGAAAAAATGTAACTTCCAGAAAAGCAGGAACAAAGGATAGAGAATTCAAGTAACCTACTCCCTACAGAACACATTTTGAAAAAATTATTCTAGTAACACTTCATATTTTGATTTTTTTCCCCTATTTAGAGTACATTGGTAGCATCAAAGCACAATCTTGTTGAATATTTTGAGGAAATGGAGATTTCAGGTAAATGCAAACAATAATAAGTTCATACTTTTTTCTGACTATGATTTGGTTACCTAACTTACGGTGCAATCTGATACAATGTCTACTGAGAAGTAAGTCCCATTGACTTCAGCGGGGCTCACTTCCTGGTAAGGAGATAACACCCAAAATTTCTCAACAGTTAGTGAATTTCTTTTAATCTGTTCTACACTAAGAACTGTGATCAGTGAGTTTCCTTTTTTTCTTAATCTGTGGTTTTGTTTAAGGGCTATGTGGCGTTCTTCCTTTTGGTTCCCAAATAATATTTGAAACAAACAAACAATCAAGAACAATATCATAATAGAATGGATTTAATTCCAAGAGACTCCAAGGAAGGAGTACAACACTGAAAAATTAAACCTCAATAAACTCATGCTAACAACAAGCAAAATAGGATGTGATTGAGATGTTTCTCCTATGCATTGAAAGGGTATGCTGGTTAGCCGCACCCCTTGCCACCTGAAGGTGATTTGTGGAAGTCAGTTGGTGGTTCACCACACCTCAACCAGTGTGATGTATCACCAGAGTATGCAGAACCCCAGTGGAGTCCTCAGAGAATTCCTGCTCCCAGCAAACGGCTTCTTCCAGAGTCCCTGGTTAACGGAAACACTCCCCTCCCGCACAGTTCAAAGTAAAAAGGTGTTTATTGTCTCCAGACTCAAGACAAAGCTAATCGCTATCTATTATAGACCAAGGGAAGATGGGTGGTGCTGTGGTCTAAACCACAGAGCCTCTTGGCTTTGCTGATTGGAAGGTCGGCGGTTCGAATCCACACGACAAGGTGAGCTCCCATTGCTCTGTCCCAGCTTCTGCCAACCTAGCAGTTTGAAAGCATACCAGTGCAAATAGATAAACAGGTACTGCTGTGGCGGGAAGGTAAACAGCATTTCTGTGCGCCCTGGTTTCCCTCACAGTGTCCTATTGCACCAGAAGTGGTTTAGTCATGCTGGCCACATGACCCAGAAAGCTGTCTGGGGACAAACGCCAGCTCCCTTGGCCTGAAAGCAGAGATGAGCGCCGCAACCCCATAGTCACCTTTGACTGGACTTAACTGTCCAGGGGTCCATTACCATTACCTTTTACTATACACCTTTATTCCGGTCATCAAAGTACAGATACATATGTACAGAGAGAACTACTAACACTATCAGTGTGCTAGCTAACTCTGCTGTGTAAAAAACAACTCACAGTCTCTTGCCCTGACTCTCACAGATTCAGAGTCAGATCCTGACAACAAACAGGACGGCATCAGGACATGCAACAAGACCTAATGAAAGCAATGTCTTAGAGACTATTATACCCATCTCTACATTCCTGAACCAATGGGAGAGTGAATGACTCAACAAGTTATACACTCAACCTCTCTGGAGTTGCTATGGTAACCCAGTGTACCCTTATTTCAGAACTTGGTGGATGTGCTCCTCAAGACATGAGGCCAAGCACTGCGTCATTTAAACCACTGTTCACATTGCACCATCATGGCATGCTCACCAGCCGCAGCTGCCAAAACTACTACTGTGCATTTGATCGATGTATGAAGAAGCTTAGCATGCATAACATTGGTACACATCTATTTCAGACTTATCTGTTGTATATAAAGTATTGAGGAGGGGTTAAAAGGAAAAGGTACTATTGTGGGCAGTACTGTAATATCAAAGATAACTTTCGTTTTACAGAAATCAGTGCAACAAGAAAAGGCCGGAACAGATACGGGTATGCCAGTCATTTTTTAAAAAATCCATTCATTATACTTATTCCATCAAAATTCATCAGTTCAGAGTCTCTATGGAGCTGCGGCGATGAGCTTTGATGGTCTGAGTATAATGAATGGATTTATGGGAGTATAGCATCTCATTGGCAATGAATATCTACAGATATGTTATATATCTGTTGAATTTTTTTTACCAGCAAATAACCATTGAGATGTTCAAATCATTTATTACTGATGGGATAAAGGGGTGGGGGAGGAAAAGGGGGGGGAATCCTCAGACTGGTTGAATTTCTGTCAAGATTTATTGATTAGCATTTTCAGACTTCTGTTCTTTCCTTTCCTTTTTAAGGTATTACATTTTATTTGAAAGCAAGATTATTTAGTACACCATTTTTATGCAAAGCAAAATAGAAAATGAGACAGGAAGTTATAGTGGATGGTCATATTTGTGGATCTTTCATTTCATAAAATAAAGCAAAGCTATTGCTATCAGCATAAAATAAAGCAAAGCTATTGCTATCAGCAGGGAAAGCCAGGTGGTAGAGCATCTGTTTATCCGATCATAATGCCTCAGGTTCAGTCCCTGGCTAGAAGTCTGGAGAGTCCCTCTCAGTCAAAGACGAGACTAGACATTTAAGATGGAGGAGATATTAGTCCTATCTCATTTGCACTTCCCAAACCAATAAGCAAATTGAAACTGAGGTATCCTTTGATATTCAAGCTTCTTGTGATGCAATTTTCCTACCCAAAAATGTTCACAAAAACACATATATTAGTGAGTATAAAGTCCCAAAACTACATAACTAGAGGTAGTTAACGGTACTTCCAAAAACTGGGTAAAATTGTGTGAAAGAATTGGTGGAAATGTGCTTTAAAATGCATACACGTTTCCATGAAGATTTTTTTTTGGGGGGGTGTATACGTGGTGTGGATAAGGGGTGAACTGCACACTGGGCTGGGGGCGGGAATTGACGAATTCATCCATTTCTACTAGACTGGCAAATGATTTGATATGAGGGCTGATTTGGTATAAGGCAACTTCCTGTATTCCAATGAAATTAATTCTAGATCACGTCTGAGTTGCTAAAGGTCAATGATGAAATGTATTTTAGGGTTGAGTAAACAATCTTCTACACTGCCACACTGTCACAACTGGCTACATGAGCCTCCGCAATGATCACATTACAACAATTCTAATGGGTTCTCATTAAACAGGTAAACGAAGAAGCATCCATGGGGTAAGTTCACAGTTAAGAAATAATATGCATGTTTCCTCAGAAGTAATTCAGCAGGACTTACTTCAGAGTAGACATGGATAGGATTGCCAGTGACTAACTCCCATCAATTTCAACGCCACCTATTTTTGCTGATTGTTCCTCAGAGCCACATGGCCAGTACACTTGCTAATATGGCCACAACCTTTCTCATCTGCCTTACAAGCTTCAAAAATAAATTGAATCTCATATAAAATAAGATGGCAAAACAGTGATAATCCTACTCTGGAGGGTAAGACCAGAACCAACGGATTCAAGTTACAAGAAAGGAGATTCCAACTAAACATCAGGAAGAACTTTCTGACAATATAAGCTGTTCAACAGTGGAGTGGACTCCCTCAGGAGGTTGTGGACTCTCCTTCAGTGCATATTTTAAAGTAGAGGTTAGATGGCCATCTGACATGGATGCTTTAGTTGAGATTTCTGCATTCCAGGGGTTTTGACCCTCCAAATCTACAATTTTACGATTCTAGGATTCCAAATCTACAATTTTACGATTCTAGGATTCCAACTGATTTTTTTTTCAAGACAGCTACACAATCCAGTTTCATTTGGCAGCCTAAGAATTATACATAATACAATTCACTCTGTTTCGTGGCATTCAATTAATCTGAATAACAACCTGCAAAATAATTTTAACATCAGGTCAATGGCCCATCTAGTCCACCATCCTGTTCTCAGAGTTGCTGACCAGATGCCCATGAGAAATCTGCAAGCAGGATTTGAACACAACAGCACCCTTGTCCCTGTTGTTTCCAGCAACTGGTAATTTTTAATTTACAGACCAGACCACCCACCTCCACCCCCACCCTGATGCAAAAAGGCAAGGTGCACTTAGTGGCTGCAACTTAATATTCAACAGACTTCTCACATTCTGTTCTCTTCTTGCAATTTTAACACTATATAAACAACCCAAGGAACCTGTGGAATAGCAAGGTATAAACTGAGACATTAAATACATTGGAAATGGAAGCTTTGTTTCATTGCCAAATATTTTTTGGGCACAATCTGCTGACCTTTCCTCTCATTCAGAAGTCATTCAAAGTAATGGAAGCTCCTTGGTGGACTAAGTCCTGGATTCCTTTGCTGAAACGTTCACTCCTTCTATAGCTCATTCTTATTCTCTCCAAAGCCCGTCAAAGGATCTAAATCATGACATGGGGAAAGGTTAGACAGGCATTCAAATTTGTCTGTCACTGCAGGAGAAGTGATGCAATGTAGGGACTGCAGCAGCAATAACAGTGAAAATCTATCATTCTTACTTCTTCAAGCACCCCTCCCTGCAATACGACAGAAATGCATCTCAGCAGTAAATTCTTCTAAGAGCCCCTTAAATCTATCATGCTAATTGCAAATGTGGAGTAGCCATTTGTCTTGTCCTAGAAGTATCATAAGACGCAGATTTGTGCTTTGAAAAGTTTCAAGGAAGAATCCCTAGGCGGCTCATAGCATAAAACTCTACAGACAGTAGCGACACCGCACTGGACTAATCTTTCCGAAAGGACACTGCAGAGCAGTTTTAAAAAAAAGAATTAAAGTGAGGAAGATCGGTAGCAATCGAGAGCATGTTACTGCCCTGTGTATATGAAGACGAAAATGTGTTTGTTTCATATGACCATTGCATTTTAGATTCAGGGACAAAATTCCTATCAAACGGTTTTTTTGTGACGAGTAATCTGTTGCTGTTTTTCCAACAATAACAGCAAAACGCACCAGTCTGCACAAAGTGTGAAGTGCAAAAAATATTCACAATGCACAGTAACCATTTCAGATTACAGTAGTTGCAAAAATATGATGAAAGGCTGCCCTCTTCAGCCAAAAGTTGGGAAAAAAGGTGCTAAGAGGGTCTAAATGTCCTTTAGAGCAATTATTTGGGGGAAACTTTACTAAATAGTCTATATTCCACTGTACTGTACAACAGTTAATTCCGCTGAAGTGGGAAATACATGCATTCAGTAATGTGTGTGTAGTAATCTATATTTATACACAAGAAGTGGGGAAGCTGGTATACAGCAGAAATGGCTTAGGATGCTGGTTAATAAGGATGTAAGACAGCATCAATTTCCATTCTGCCCTGTATTTTATTTTACATGTGGTTTTTCTGTATATCCTCTTTAATAACCATCATGGATTACCTTTTGGTTTTTGTGCGAGGGTAAATTTAGTTACTTGGGAGACTCAGGTAGAAGTTGAACAAATAAGAAAGGTTTGTTTTACAGCACGAAGTTGAGAAAACAAAGACTGTGTCAGGAGATAAAAAAATTATTTCAGGAAACAGTTATTTATAATTATACTGAATATAGTAGATGTTACAGGCTTCTAAACAAGCTTCAGTTGCTTATGCTTCAGTTAGATGTTACAGGTTTCTAGACTAGATGGTAAACGCTTAGCTCATTTGGACTTATTTTGCTTCAGTTCCTTAACTTAGTTGTATAGGTTTTATACAGCTTGATGCTTTGGTTCTTAAACAAGCTGAATGCACAGCTTAATACTTTGGTTCCTAACCAAGGTGGTTACCCAACCTTTTAATAATCACACTCCTGAGGTACTTCTAGCAGTTTAACAGACCAGGGGGTCCCCACACCCCTCTTAACTGGTTTGAAAGCCTTCTTTTTCTGAAATATCTCTCCGCTCCTGACTGAAATGAGACCTAAGTAGACTGTAACCTCACAACTTCTACTTCTTCTGCTTAAACTCAGCCTCCCAGTTAACTCCTGTCAGAATACTCTCCCATGACACTGAACACTGTCTTGCAATCTAAGCTCAGAGACTCCCTTCTCTAGCTGCAGGTATTTTCCTCAGAGTGGATATTGCGCACAGACCAGAACCAACTCACCCCCTTCAACTATCTGAACTCTCTCTCAGAAACTGCTCCTTTTATTTTCCCTCCCAAAGTTCAGGCTCCACCCCACCTCCAGCTAGAAGTCTCGATAGCCAATCAGAGAGCAGCTCCAGCACTCTGGCAGAATAGCACCCAATCAGAGAGCTGCTCCAGCATTCTGAGACGCTGCATCACCCAACTCTGCTCTAGCTCAGGTGTCCATCACACCTCCATTTGTACTCAATTGTTCAATGGGGACAGGATTCCCTGCCACGTAAAAAAAATATTTGAGCCCACAAGTAACCCCTCTCAGCCCATTGAGCTATCAGAGATTTCAGAGCTATGGCAGTCATGGGGTATGCTTGTAAGGGAATTAGTAGTGAAGACATTGGGGAAAGCCTAGATAGCCCTTTTTTTCCATACCATTAGAGTGGCCCAGGCATAGTGATTCTGTATGATCATTATTAATATGCTGTGTTTTTAACGATTGAAAGGGCAGTGTTGAAAGAGGGCCTGGATTCAACCTTTTTTCTCTTCCACAGTTATCAAATTCTTTTTCGCTCAATCTAATGGCAAAATGTAGCAAAAAAATAAATAAAATAAAAACATATTGAAAACAATTAGAATACAAACCTCAACTTTAAAAGGCTTGTTGAAACAGTAGCTGCCAAAAAGACAACAGAGACAGTGACTGATTCATTGCTGCTTATTTAGTATGATGACTTATTTAATTGCTTTTTAAAAATGTTTATTAAAAAGCAATCAGTGTTTTTTTTTTACCTGCATCTCTTTTTAATTTATGTTGTGAGCTTCCATGGGTCCTGCACTGAGAGAAAGCAGGATATAAATGTGAGTGTGTGTGTGTGTGTGTGTGTGTGTAGAAATCAAATGTTAAGCATTATTCAGCATAAGTGATGGATTAAAGGAGTAGAAACTGTGTTGACCCCCAGTTGTTCTTTGATTACAATTCCCATAATTCCATGCTGGCTGGGGTCAATGAGAGTTGGAGTCCCCATAGCTGAAGCGACACAGATTCCTCATACCTGTATTAAAGGATGCCTGGTTAAGTTACTTCCCTTCTAAATACTCTACGTGAATATTAGTGGGACAGCTAACCATGTGCTGAAATGCAGAGCTGCAATTAATGGAGTTGTTTCAGTCTCTAGTGTTTACTTAAACTGTCATATATCTAAGTGCTCTGAACAATCACGTGAATTTTCAGTAATTGGCTCTTATCACATTTGAATTTGTAACAACTATGATCAGCCTCATTTATTTGAAGCAAAATTGTCATTCTGGGATTTTACAGCTGTTTCTAAAAAAAACCCTAAAATGACAATTAAATTATTATTCACTTTACATCTATCATGCATTGCCAACATCTATTTATCGCAACAGAACCAGGGGTAGAAGTCAAGCTAAATACAGCCTTCTCTATGAAGTAAATATGATGCTGCAACGTCTAGTATATAATTCACATATTTCAATGACAAAAATATCTTAACAAGCTGACTATAACTTCTCATTTCGACTTCAGATGATAGAAAAGAAATTTAAATTAAAACAGAATAGAATGGACAGTAGGGACATGTTGTTTGAATGGTCTGGACCTTTTTTTAGTGATCAGGGTGGAATAAGCACTGCAATTTTCTTTTGCGAATATACACCATGTCTTCATCTGAAAAAGAAAACTAAAGCAATTTTTATTGAATTGTGGGTTGTTGTTTTCTGTAAGTCCCCCCCCCCGGGTCTCACACCCCCCCACTGTGTACTCCAGGATTGTAAAAGGTGCATAGCCCTCCAGATTTTGATAGACTCCATCTCTCATCCGTCCCAGCCAATATAGCCAATGGTCAGAGATGAAGGGAGTTGCAGTCCAGCAATGCTGGGGGCAGGGACGGGGAAAGACAGGTCCCCCAACCCCTGCTATACTCAGGTCTACAGTCTACACTGGCTCCCAGTACGTTTCTGAGCACAATTCAAAGTGTTGGTGCTGACCTTTAAAGCCCTAAACGGCCTCGGTCCAATATACCTGAAGGAGCGTCTCCACCCCCATCGCTCAGCCCGGACACTGAGATCCAGCGCCGAGGGCCTTCTGGCGGTTCCCTCATTGCGAGAAGTGAGGTTACAGGGAACCAGACAGAGGGCCTTCTCAGCAGTGGCGCCCACCCTGTGGAACACCCTCCCTTCAGATGTGAAGGAAATAGGCAGCTATCCTATCTTTAAAGGACATCTGAAGGTAGCCCTGTTTAGGGAAGTTTTTAATATTTAATGCTGTACTGTTTTTAACACTTGATTGGGAGCCGCCCAGAGTGGCTGGGGAAACTCAGCCAGATGGGCGGGGTATAAATAAATTATTATTATTATTATTATTATTATTATTATTATTACGAGAACAGATCGGTATACACCACCAGGTAAGAGGCATGCAAATCAGGTTGTGTTTCCTACACCAATATAATTGGAGCACTTTTTGCAGGGCAGGCCGGGTACTGTGGAGGATTAGTGCCTATAAGAAACTGATGGATTGCACATTTATCTCTCTGATACAAACTTCCTGATTCTGCTTGTTCATTTGTTTGCTTGCTAGAACTTTAGTTGGGACCAGATGCAAAAGGCTGGCTCAAGGGGCACAAAAGAAGGGTGTCCATGGGCAGATTAAGGGTGTGCAGGAGCAGAGCATGGATCCGAAATCCCCACCCCCTCCAAAATCCCCTGACATGCACCCAAACCTGGAAGAAAACTATGCCAACCCCCAGGAAGTGGTGTAGTCCATTGCCTATTGTTCCAAATGGGAAGGAAATGCTTTTTAAAAAAAAAAAAAAGAAAGAAAAACAGAAAAGGATAGATGTATGCAAAGTTGTTTTCCCTCTGCTGGCGAGTGTCCAGACTTCAGGGGTCAGCAAACTTTTCCAGCAGGGGGCCGGTCCACCATCCCTCAGACCTTGTGGGGGACCATACTATATTTTGAAGGGGGGGGGATGAACAAATTCCTATGCCCCACAAAAAAAAACAGAGAAGCATTTTAAATAAAAGCACACATTCTTCTCATGTAAAAACACCTGGCAGGTCCCACAAACAACCTAGAGATGCATTTTAAATAAAAGGACACATTCTACTCATGTAAAAACACAATGATTCCCGGACCATCCGTTGGCCAGATTTAGAAGGCGATTGGGCCGGATCCGGCCCCCGGGTCTTAGTTTGCCTACCCATGGTCCAGAGGATTCTGGGCAAGACAGGTATGTACCTCCTGCAGCCCCCTATCAGCACCCTTGCAGTCAGCGAGCACCCATGTTTTACATGGGAGGAAGAGGGAGGCCCA